ATAGTTGCATGCAAAGAAGCGAGTCTTTGCCAATACAGAGACGCCGGTTGTAGTAGAGCAATCCATTGTGAACCGAGTGGTGTGGCGGTGCTGTCCCAACTTGAATTGCGGCGTGGAGCTCCAAGAGTTCTGGGGCAGTAGTATTCTCACATTTGAGGTCCTGGAGCAGCGACGGGAATGGTCGCACGTACGTCGTGAAAAGGGAAGCTACCTGGGGTCGTCCTTGCGACGCAAGAGGGCGTTAGCGGATCGGTTTGTTGCCCCGCTTTTGTATTCAATTCTGAACTTGTTCCCCATCAATTTTTGCGCATGGAGTTGTTGCTCGGGCGTTTGAATAACCTGGGAAAGTAGTTTCTTGAGACTGCACTGGTCGCTACGGATAACGAATTCGCACCCCAAGAGGTACTGGCGCCACTTTTGAACCGCTTCGACAATGACGTACAACACCTTGTGGTAAGTGGATGCAAGACGACGTCAAGGCCCCAACTTCTTATTGAAAAAGGCCAAAGGATGCCCCCGCTATAAAAGATCGGAACCCACACCCGTATCAGAAGCATCGGTCTCCACATAGAAAGGTTGAGTAAAATTTGGCAGGCGTAATACGGGTGTCGTGGTCATGTAAGATTTGAGCCGGTCAAAGCCGGCCTATGCCTCCGAAGTCCATGCAAAGCTATCCTTTTTTAAGAGATCAATTAGGGGAGCCACGATCATCGCATACCCGGCGATAAACTGGTGGTAATACCCTCTAAGGCCAAGAAACCCCCAAAGGTGTTTAAGGGTGGTGGGTGTCGGCCAGTCCAGCGTTGCTTTGATTTTGTCCGCGTCCGGATGAAATTCGCCGGCGATAATGTTATGCTCCATGTAGGCCACCTTTGTGTGACAAAAGGAACACTTACTCATTTTCAGGAAAAAGGCAAGCTCCTGCAAGATCTCCAGCACGGTGGGCGGCATGCGTGTCTAGGATAGGGCTATAAACCAAAATGTCATATAAGAAGACAGACAAAGAAATGGTGCAAAAAGTCTAGAAAATGTTGTTCATTGGTGCCTGGAACGTAGAAGCAGGGGCATTGCACAAGCCCAAGGGCATCACCAGAAACTCTCAATTGCCGCCGTGCGTATGAAAGGCTGTCTTAAAAATATCCACTGTGTGCATGCGAATTTGATGGTAACTGGAGCGGAGATCAAGTTTCGTAAATATGTGTGCATTCCTCAATTCATCAAAGAGCTCATCTGGGGTTGGTATGGGAAAATTGTCGGGAACGGTGGCCAAATTCAAGGTAAGGTAGTCGACACAAAAATAAAAAGTGACATCTTTCTTGCGGACCAATAATACCCGAGATGAGAAGGGGCAGTGACTAGAACAGATAATCCCTTGTTGAAGCATTTCCCAAACCTGCCATTCAATTTTTGTTTTCTGGGTACCAGTACAGCCGAACGCCAAAAAATTGTTTGCGACGTAGTTATGAAACCATTCTGATGCCGGATGGTCGATCAACATGGCAACCAACAGTAGACGTTTCGGTTCGGGCGTGAGGAAGTAATCAAAATATTTCTGAACACGAAAGATCCACCCCGTGGGATCCTCGCCAGAAAACCTGGGGGCACCGACCCGCATGCGAGGAGCAGGCTCGGTGGATGAGCCAGTCGTCCGTGACGGAGGAGGGCGCCAACTGGTATGGGGAGGACAAAACTGTAAGCGGCTGTCGCTGGTAGTAACCGCAAGCTCGGCCACGTGGAGCTTTGTGGCCTGAAGATCTTGACGAATATCCATGATGGCGTTCATGAGGTCTTCAAGCTTGAGGGGCTGAAGAGGATTCTCAGGAGTGGGGGTGGAGGATGACATGAAGTCGAGAATGAGAGCACTAGTTGATACCGTGATACAAAACAGTCGTGCGAGATAACGGAGGACGGCGGGTTTAGCAACCAGCGGCTTGGCACAGTGGAGAAGAGAAACCCTAGGGTTTCGGGAGACTTGGGGAGCAAGGGAGAGAAGTCAGAGAGAGGGTTTAAGGAAATGTTTTTTGATAATTCTAAGGAGAGAATAACCTCCTTTTATAGAAAAACATTGTTTCCCGATCCTACTAAAACTACGTTATCTATCCTATCGGTTCAAGGAAAAGCGACAAGGTAAAGAACCGAAAACAAACCTCGAATGAGCTTATAATAACGCTCATCTTATAAAATATAAGTACAACAAAATAGAGAGATTAAACATAATCTTGGTATTTCCGAGGTGGGCCGATGTTTCTCTTTGGGCGTCCAAACGCGATAGACGTGGGCGGTGCGTCTTTTTTAGCTTGTGTCGCTGCGTCTGGTCCGTATCACTTTGGTAAAAAATACAAATCTTTAAAATTTGGTTGCATAACAATTGTAAAGGTATTAAAAGTCAAATCATAGTTCAAGTCATCTATCAACATTTGTTAAATAAATGTCACACACACTCTACAATCTCTTCGATTTCATTCGACTGGAAGTCCAACATTGCACCTGCTCTAGCAAATGGTAGACAACAACCTTTTCTCTAATTGTTTAGATTTTTTAAATGTTATCAAATTTTTGTATTTAATTTTTAAGATTAAATATCTATCCACGTTTAAAAATACAAATTTGATTTCATTTGTATGATCTAAATTCTAAAAATCAAAGTTTGTAATTATATTTTTCATTCTAAAAAATAAAAAAATATAAAGTAAATTTGATTTTACTCAACTTTAAATTGTGTAAAAGATTATTTAGTGATTACATATTTAAATTATAATGAGACTTAGATCTTTCTTTAATTTATAATTTAGGATAAGTATTTAATCAATTTTGTAGAACACATGTTATCCATTAATATAATTTTTTCATGCCTCAAATGCTCTAATCGTGTCTAAATGTTTGCTTCATTTTTATGAATGTGTTATTACTGTGAATACATTTTGTTGAAGTACAAAATAAAAATTAGATTGAAAGATTTCTTTTGGATACACATGGAAAAAGGGAATAAACAATAAATCGTGGTTTTCGTTGAATATTTAGATTTTTAGGGTGTATTTGTACTCAATTTCAATGTTTAAAATGTCTTTCTTATTAAAAATACTAGCATTTAACCCATGCAACGCACGGGATTTAACGATATTTAATTTTTGTCAATTCTAAATTTTTTTCAATGTTTAAGGTTTCGTTCTTTTAGATGATGACTTTTAGAATAAAAGTTCAATCTTTGAGTTACTCTAATTCCTCGAGTTCATTTCTCCCACCCACCCCATTCTCTTTACATATCCTCGCTGCCAGCCACCCTCTACCCTTAGCCACCCCTCCACCAATGAAGCTCTTTGAATGGGTAATTTCAAGTTATCCACATAATATTTATGTAGTCTGTGTAAATTATTATCTTCAATGTACTACATGTAAATGAACTTATGAAAATTTAGTTAATGTTTTTTTAACACTATAGACATTTAAAGAAAAGTATGAATATTATAATTGAGTAAATAGCACTAGTTAGTCATTAATACCCAAGTAAAAAACATTATTTAGCATTTAACGTTTTGGAATGAAAAATTTTAATATATAAATTTGAAAGTGAAAACTTCAAAGTTTTTCTTAAATTTGAAAGTGAAAACCTTAGAATTTAAGGGTGAAGATTCAAAATTTCCAAATTATACGAACGAATAAGAAAATTTCATGAAATGAAATGAGGTTTTGAATATGTAATTTTGAGATGAGGCTTGGAAATTTTTGGAGACAAAATTTTCTGATTCAACGATTCTAGAATCTCTTATTTTTGTGAATAAGTAAAGGGTCATGCTATACTTACACCACAAATTGTACCCCATTTGTACACCACAGGTATACACAAACATTTTGATGGTTTACACCGACACAAGTATTGGTGCGTTAACAAAAATTTACACGGATACAAAGTGTTTGTGTATTAACAAAATTAGTTTTACACCAACACAAAGTGTTGGTGCAAACCTGCGGGGTACAAAGTGGAGTACAAAAATATGGGGTACAAGTAGCTTTATCCATAAGTAAATGTCAGATTCTAAAAGGATTGCGAGGGTATGGAATTTGTAATTGAGTCATATGTTGAGTTGCCAAAAAAGCCATGTAATCAGGCCACATGGCAAATTCCTGTGAAAAGGCCATGTAATCAGGCCACATGGCGAAGTCATCTGAGTCCAACTCTCAAATTTGAATACTCCGTATATAAAGATAAAGATATATAAATTTTATATTTTTAGAATAAATGTAAAGGATAAATTGTGTTCTCAAACAGGGTGCGTGTGAATAAATAAAAAATCTTCAGTTATTTCCTTTAATATAATGCTCCGTGTATTTTAAAACATCCCATTGGTCAAACATATTATTCAAAAAATGAATCAAAGCATAAAAAATAGAGTTACCAATTCGTAAGATTGACAGCTTAAAACTCACAAAAAAATCTATTAGATATTTCACTATGTTAAATCAATAAAACACATTGAAATTATGTTAGTTTAGAAAAATAATTGGTTCACAAACACAATGGTCACAAACTCCACAAACTTATTTTTTTGAACTTTAACAAAAATTAAGTACTTTAAAATAATTTTAAAATAAAAATTTAAACCATAAACAATATGTTTAAGTTTATGAAATTTGTGATCATTCTGTTTGTGAACCTAGCATTATTCTAGGTATGATTGTTTGTAAAATACAAAATGTTTAAACACGACGGTTTATAAATAGTAAATTTAAAAAATTTTAAAAATAGAAACTTTGAGCATTAACATATACAGGTAATGTATAGATTAAAAGAAAATTCATAAACCACCATATACTCTAAAAAAAGCATATCATGAATTGAAATTAAACCATCATATACTCTAAAAACAAAGAAAGGTATATTATTTTTGAAATTAAACCACAAAGCATCCTCAAGTATAAAGAATAAATTATCTATCAAATTATAAAGCATAGACTATCTAATAATTAAATTCAATCATAAAATCAAAATAATAGTTAAATAAAGTAATTTTAGGATTATATTTTTTTTTTTACTTTAACAGTCTTTATCTTTCATTCTAATTTCCAACATCAGACACTTGTTCTTCCATTCTCTTAACGGGGGTAAGATTTAGCATAACATCTTGAGGTTGCGATGACCGACCATCCACGATTTCTACAAAATCAATAATTAAATCCTGCAAAATAAAGTAAAAATCTATCCATAAAGGTATAAAATTCAACTTACAATTTTAGAGACCTGTAATTTTTTTTACCATGGATAATGCTATTTTTATTCTCCAAATAATTTTCGTAAAATAAATCTAAACGGGTGCTGCAACTACAGGTGAAAGTGGAACGGGTATTGTATGATGGAGAAAAAATGACCAGATTCAAAAGACAGACCAAATTAAATAGAGGATGGCTAAGATTCTGAATCTTAAGAGATTGAAATAGTATAGGGGACATATTCTACATCTTAATAGCTCCATGCTTTATCAGCACACTGTTAGAGAAAGGAGGACCAAACAATATGACAGGGCAAGAGCTTCGCTTAACTTAGTTATGAAGTTGTTACTCCTATAAGGTTTTCATTGTGTCATGACATACTACTACAACTCATTGTCAAAAGCAACAACACACTTATATATTTGTGTACCTTTATGCACGAAGATGCCTCACCATTGGAAAAATCATGCGTCTTATCTTTCTCTCAAGTTGAAAATCCAGGTACAATATCAGTCTGCAGGCAAAGCAAGAATAACAAAGAGTATTTCATTAAAGTATGTTAAATAAGTATTTTTAGCAAAATAATATTTCATGGTATCAAGAAATTTGCAAGTGTTTGTAGTTTATTTGTTTTTTATACATTAGATTTGCACGCGCTGGTGTAATATGCAAGTGTTTCTTGTTTATTTGTTTCTTAATTTTGAATGAAACAAATGGGCAAGGGGAAGTCGTTAATCTGCAAACATCTTGGGAGTTCATTGCTCTGCGTCACCTTACTCGCTCTCCAAGCATGAGAAAAACATGAAATGAGAAGTCCATGAAGAAATATAGATAACAATAAATCACATGTGATAGAATTAAAAAAGGGATAATAAGTTCACTACAATATGAAAGGGAACATTGGCTACTATGTAAAGTTTTTGGGCCGGTATTTAACATACAAATGCTTCAAGTGTTACCACTTACCACCAAGTGAGGAATGAGTATACAAAGATGGAAAAATTTTAAAAGAACACAGACAAAAAAAAACAAAGGCAAAAACAGGCAAACACATGACAAAAACTGCCCCACAAAATCCAAGGTATTGAGGCCAAAACCACACATTCCCTATTGCTCTAAACCTGTGAGCCTTGAAGTTGTGCAACCCAAGACCAAGAATCTGCTTTTTTTATTTCTCCTTATAAAAAAAACACTTCCTTCCTCAATAAAAGAAATCTTGCTACCATATTGTGAACTTAAAGTAGGCCTATGCTACCATTAACAATATAATTGATTCCATCATACTTTATAACTTACATCCATTACTACTTTTATTTACTATAGCATGCTTTTTAAAGAATCTCAAATTCCAATTTCTAGTCTTTTAATTGTTTTGCTGCAACTTGGAATAGTACCTTTATTCTAACTTTTGCTTAGGGCAGTGACATACAAAAAAATTATTGCATACTTTTGTTCAATTAAATCACACATACACACTTATTACAAAAACTGTTTGCCTCAAACTGGTAAGAGGCAAAACCAAAACCAATTGAAATAAGTTAGGAAAAAGTTGATCAAATCAAATCAAAATCCCAAAACCAATAAAAAATGAAGGAAACACATCACAAAAAATGTAGACGTCACAGTTGAAATAGTGTGCAAATTAAATTTATTATCCTTAACTCGGCTCATAACAATGGCTTACCATTACAGCAATTGGCCAGCACAATAAGGAGGAAAATAAGATAATTAATACCGGAGTATCATGTGGATGAATGAAAAAGAAGAATACCTGGAACCAATGCACCGAGATATGGGAGAAACTGCCAAAATATATAAATGTATTTATATATTTATAAAATAGTTTCTGCCAAAATAGTTTCTGAAATCGAATTTCCGAAAAAAAAACAGAGATTTTTTCACAAATGGAAAAAAAAATACCCTTGCCCAGAATCTCCGGATTTTGCTCCAGAATATATAAATACCCAAAAAAATTTAAGGAAAAAAAATACCTAATTTGAAGTCTTTCCTTGTTCAAGATGGAGATGGAAAAATACCTAATGTTGATTCGCGAGACCTGGATCGGCTATTGATTCGGATGAAGATGGAAATCCTTGAAAAAATCTTGAAAATTGCTGATTTCTCGCGACGAAGATGGAAAGGCGAGAAAAGGCACCTTTCCGCTGGAAATTGGGACGACGAAGAGAATGACGGGAATTCCTTTTTCTTCTTCCGCTGGGAAAATGCACAGAAGAATAAGAATGACAAGTGATGCTGATTTGTCAATAAAATAAACTCTCATTAAGTATACATGTCATCATCTAATTTAATCAACTCTCAAATATTATACTCCCTCCTTTTTTAGTATATTTTTTAAGGCTAAATATCAATAATATCCTTCTATTTTATCACAAATATAATTTTTAGTACTTTTTTAATAATAAAAGGAGATTTAAAAGTTTATAGTATGTGCATTTTTGAAAATTTTGCATTTTTTTTACTATTCCTTAATAAGCGTGCCAAGTTAACACGGGAAGAACATTTTCGGACGAAGGGAGTATTAAAGGATATGCATCCATTATAAGCCATATTTTTATAAAATCAAGCATATAATTTGCGAATGTATCCATATACATATTCCGAACGTATAAAATGTTATAATACAACATAGTTTAAGAAAATGATTCGTATTATACATGAACGTACAAATAGACGTATTATATTTGTGTCTGAAGAAGCTAATAGAGATCAATAAAAAATAACCTTAAAATGATAAAAAATAGAAATATAAATATATGAGGACTATGGAGTACGTAGTGGTGTGTTCTAAAGTTTTGGACAATATACCAAGTACTAATGTGCTCCATGTTACTATCTCTTAAGGGTATTCAAAAATTTTGAATCAAGTAAAACTCATTCCATATCCAATTCGAAAATATTCGAATATCTGCAATTTGGATATCCAAATTAAATTTTGTGGATCAAATCAATAGAATATTTGAAAAAGTTTAACTTCTAAGCCAAAATTAACAAAAAAGGGTAAAATGGCAGAATCCACCCACATAGATTTGGTAAAAGGAGATGTAGTCGTGTCCTTCTCGAAGTCGCCGAGCAAAGAGAGATTACTCGAAGTCACTAAGTAGAGAGACCGGTCGTCGGTCGCCGCCTGTCGCTGCTGTTGACCGGTGTTGCTATTTTATTTTTAATTAATTTTTTAATTTTCAAAATTTAAAAAAAATTGAGTTTTGGTGTTCAAACTGGTGAGTTTTGCTTTATTTCCAAGTGAGCTTTGCATTTTCCATTGGTGAGCTTTGTAGTGTAGTGTGGTGAACTTTGTGTCATCTGACCGAAATATGTCATCTCATCACAAAGTGTCATCTCACTGGAGTCAATCATACACACACACACACACACTCCCCTCATCCCGCTATATTCGTCCACTTTTGACTTTTAGAACTGTTCATCTAAGCATTTTGACTCATCAAATTCTCTCAATGTGTAAGCCTAAATATAGTCATGATCTTGTTTGATTTGTCTTAACATATAGATTATTAATATATAATTTCTATAATTTTTTAATATACAAATTACAAGATAAAATGGATTAAGAAAGTGTATTGGATGGTATGTAAAAATGAAAGTGGACAAATACTCTGGGATGGAGGTAGTATATATATATATATATATATATATATATATATATATATATATATATATATATATATATATATATATATATAATGTGTGTGTGTGTACACACACACACACATTAATCACTGCAAAACTCACCACTGTCCACTTTAAAGCTCACCATGTTTTTCTAACACTTTACTTTTTTTTCAAAATTTGATGGTTAAATGCTTACAAAGCCCAGCAACAAAGCTCAATGACTCTCATTGCAAAGCTCACCGAATATGTGCACAAAGCTCACCACACTTTAAAGTTTAAAATGATTTCAAAAAAACACAGGGCGGTGGTGCTGACTTCCAACCGCTGCAGACTACCGCCGTGGATCTGTGGTAGACTGGTGGTGCAATTTTATTAGCTTTTTTTTAAAAAAAAGTAGTTAGCTTTGCATTGTTCCTTAGTGAGCTTTTCATTGTGAGTTAGTGAGCTTTGCTTTGACAGTTGGTGACCTTTACACTTTGACCGCCCATGACCAATGGCCACCACCGATGACCCCCACCGTCACCGTGGACCAATGGTTGAGCGTTGTTTGACGGGTGGTTGAATGGTAGTGCTATTTTTTTAACTTTTTTTATTTAAAAAAAGTGGTGAGCTTAGCATTGACCGTTGGTGAGCTTTGCATTGACAGTTGGTGAGCTTTGCATTGGCAGTTGGTGAGCTTTCCATTGACAGTGTTGTGTGTTGTGTCATCTAATTGAAATTAAGTGCACCAAAATGGTTTGAAAATGCATCATCTCGAAATGCACCAAAATCCTTTGAAAATGCACTATCTCAAAACCAAAGCGCAGGATGCAATATGAGCCGCACGATGCATCAAATCCAATGGCTAGATTTTATTCTCATTTTTCTCCACAAGATGCATTAACACTTTCACTATATTTGGTTAAAGAAATTGGGTAAAAGAAGAAAAGAAAATAATTCTCTCTTATTTTCGTCACTAGAATGGTAGGAATTTAATTTCCCTTCTCTTAGTAGAATTTGTCTTTTTTGCTTTCTTTTACTTCTATTTTTCTTTTCTTTTCCTCACTAACCAAACAAGAAATCTTGTTTTCCATCTCATTTTTCCTTGAACCAAAGATAGTGTAAGTTTGGTTCAAGAAATTTGAAAGGAAAAAAAAATATTATAATTTTCTCTCATTTATCTCACCAAATTCCGAGGATTTTTGTTTTCGCTCATCTTAGTACAATTTGTCTTCTTATTTTGTTTTCCTCTCACTTTTGGTTTTCCTCTCTAACCGAACATGAAAATTTAGTTTCTCTCTCATTTTCATTTCTTTTTCCTTTCAAATTCTTTAAACCAAACATAATGTACGAGAAGACGGATGAAAGTGATAGATAAGGTGTTCTGACAATTGAAATTTTGAAATACTCCAATAGGAAAAATACTGGTTAAACCCATGGGCATTCAAAGTCAATACATGCTTGCACACAGTAATACATACCTTCACCAACGGAGATGCAAAAAGAAAAAAGGCACAAGTAATAATTAACACGACACGACATTGCTTCCCCAGACATGAATGAGACCAGAGCAACATAACTTTTTAAGTAAGCCACCTTTGGCGCAAAGTAGGCCCGTCATAGTACTTCTGCCCTTGGGTGAATTTGTTGACCGCATGAGGAATGCCCTTCCCTTTGCAATATTCGCAGTCATCGCATGTAGTCTTGATGCCTGCAAACAAATCAAACCATAGAATATATATGAAGACGACAATGTTCTGTTATGTACTAAGAACAAAGTTTTAAAGTTCTCACGATGGGTAATACGAGTAACACTCTGAAAGTGATACTTCTGAATCCCGTTAATGTAAAATTCAGCAAAAAAGAGCTCTGGAACAGAAGAGGTTTCGCTTGCAGCTTCAAAAGCACAATGAATCCATATCTTGTACCGAGGAAGAAGAAACCCGTTGCAGTTGATGACATCCACAAGCTTATAACTAGTAGACTGCAAGAGCAAATAAAAATACCTACTTCGCTAAGTGGGCGATATAAGAAGGAAAAAAAAGACATAGAAGACAACACAATTTAAAAAGACAAAGTTTTGCAAATGGTCATGCTTGGTACATGTCTCCTGTTGTAGCGAGCAAGGGCAGCCAATGCCCATTGCAAGTGCTGGTTCCTGTGTAGTAGTTCTTCTTGGGTGAACCCGCTCGTCTTCTCCCAAGGGTTTGGGTCATTTTTCCTGGTCACCAAAACAAAGATCCATCTCCGTATTTAGACAACATCAGCTTAAGCATTACACACTCACACACCCAATGATTTAGAGACGTCTACTCGTTTTCGTCTTCAAGGTACTCAGGTTCAACAAGTGGCACACGATCAAGAATTGGATCAAGAACAAACTCGTTTTCGTCTTCGAGGTATGTTTGAACAACACGTTTACGCTTAGGCTTCTTCTTCAATACAGGGGGCTCCACATCAATCCGGTGGAGGATGTAGACCTGGACGTAGACGTGACATGTACATTTTTTTATCTTCATCGGTAACTTTGGTCTGGGGATGTAGTAACCCCTCCAGAAGCTCCTTTTCTTCTTCGTCTGATAAATTGCTGGTCACAGAAAAAAGGACACAAGGCTATATTTATATACGGAGTACTCCCTCGATTCTATATCAACCGTCTATTAATAGTTTCTTGATACATTGAAAAATGGATGAATTCATTTTTCAATGTATGAATAAAGTGTTAGTACAGAGAATGTATTATTCTGAACAAAAAGGAATTTCAATTTCGATGAAATAAAACCCTAGCCCTATCATCGAACATAGGTGTTTTGTGCAAAATCAAACATAATTTCAATGTTAGGTATGAAATAGAAACAAGATGATAACTTCACAAGAGCGGAACGCAGGGGAGAAGACGATCTACACAAAAAAAGTCAAATCGGAAACCAAGGGAGAAATAAAAAAAATAACTTTTCATCGGGAAAGGGAAATCAAGATCGATTACCGGGTCTCAGGCCCGCTTTCAAGGGTCGGGGAAATACACTTTCGCTTTGCACCAGAAACTTTCACCATGTCCGTCTTCAGAGAATTGGAGAGATTTGCAAAAACAAACTATCGGATTTAGGTAATCTATTCTGCCTCCATCCCCCTATTCTGTCTTTGGTCGAGTCCAGTCCCGTCCACAGACTTTCGGCCTGCACAGATGGACCGGTCCAGAGTTTATTTCTTTAAATATTCATTATATAATACTCCGTATTATGAAAAATACTAGGGTTACACCTTTGTGTACCCCATTTGTTCCACACCCCCTCCATTATTACAAAAATGGATTAGGATTCTAAAATTTTTTTTTTTTAGAATTCGTTTAAAAAAAACTAGTCCAATTCAAAATCAGAAATAAAATTTTAATATAAAATATTGAAAAAAGTAAATAATACTTTTATGTTTAGCATCTAGTACATTTCAAATTTATGTACCAATACTATAACTAAAGTTTATATTTTATCAAACATGAAACTCTAATGAACAAAACTGAACATGATAAAAAATCTCTCAAAATTAATTGAAAATACAAAAAAAGAGCATTACAAAAAGCAAAAACAAAACAAGAAGAAGAATGTATATACCCTATGTAAAACAAAAATTACAAACAAGTTTTTCGTAAAAGAGTTGATGATCATACTTATAAAATCTTTATCCACAAATATGCAAAGCAAACCATTCTAACCAAGAATATTTCAACCAATAATTCACATCCTCCTCACACTTGAACGGAACCGTGTCCTTGCGGCAAAAAAATGTTTCAGAGTAGAATTTTTGGTTGAAATATCAAAGATGTGATGACTAAGATGATTGCATATGTAAAATATTCAAAATGATGATTGAAATAGTAAATAAGCATAACCATAAAAGTTTACCAAAGATTTGAAAAGTAATCCAAATAAACAGTCATCAATTCCAGTTCAAATAAGATAAAAAGTTCTGAAAAGTAGGAGATCACTGCGGTGGTTGGGAGGTGGAGGGATTGTCGTCTCGGGGCTGCTGCTGATGCGGCGCTAGGTTTTTCGGGTTTTCTAAACCCAACGCCTCATGCATCTTGTCTAAACCCTGCACCTGCTGCTGGAGTGCCGCGACGGACCGCAGAAGTGTATTCTGGTTCTCCAAGAGCTACTAGGCCCATGCCGGTGCTACCTCCGTCTGAGCACGAGCAAACTGTGCTCTATTGGGTCGTCGACGAGGAAGGCACTGAGACGGTCTCTGTGACTGATCGGAAGACTCTCCCATCTCATGTGAAGTGCGGCCAGTAGAAGCTGTAGTGCTCCCAGAAGAGCTAGGAAAGAGTCTCCGGTGGATGTGAGCATTCCGGGGCATGCCGGCATCTAACTCCCTCATCAACTACACAGGCCGTGGGATCGGTGTGTTCCCCGTGAGGGAGCGAAAGAGCAGTGTAATCACGAACCCACAGACCAAGTGCGTCCTACACCCATAGGACTGGGAGTATAAGAATCTGGACAAGTACACAGCCACGTTCGCCGGCTAGCGGTCGTGCAAGCTCTAGAAGACAAACATATCCTACTCGTAAACCCTATCTGTGTTCAACGACCTCCCAAAGAACGATGTCGAAAGAACGAATGATAGGATCCTCTAGCTGGTCCAGAACCGAGCCTTGCTCTTCTTGTTTACGAAATCTTGCTTGTCAAATAAATGCTCCCTTTAGAAAGCTTTGTGGTCAAAGTCCGCGGGAAAACGGAAGGGGGCATTGTAGAAGTCAGGCTGCTTGTGTAACGCCCCAAAACATACCCTAGAATTATTAATAAATAAATATTCGATTAATCAAAGTTGTTTTGATTAAAATAAATTGTTGTTGGGCTTTGAGCCGATATCGAATGTGTTTTAATATCCATTATCACAATCTGGATAAATTTCATAGAGATAAATCTAATATGTTGACTATTTGTGTGGTCTTGATTGAGAATCTGTGTACAGACCCAAAAACAAGAATAAATGAATAAATTATTTATGAAGTGAACTTTAAAATAATTTATTGAAATAAATCATGAGAATAAGTAATTTGAATTAAATGAGAGAACTTTTCTAAATAAAAGTCAACAAATCAATTTTGACCCTGTCAAAGTCAAACACCCTAAAATATGATGTCAAAAAAAGTGTTACAAATAAATATAAAAATTATATTGTTGGATAGAGTTTAACTGCCCGATCGCAACGGTGCAAATGAAATTCAATTCGGAGAAAGTTAGACCAGAAAGTGTACCCCAACTGGAACCAAAATTGGTCCCAATCAGGGACACTGTGCGAACGACGCCTCCTTCCCCACTCACCGATTACGAATCAATTTCCTACGCAGAAGTAGCTCAGCATTGTCCTCGTCCCCTCACCAACTCTATATAAGGAATAATCAAAATCTTCAAATCTGCACCATTCTTTATAAAATTTATCCCATTAGAATCCAAAGAGTGAGGAGAGCATTTTGCAATAGTACAGTTTGTTGCCGCCAAAGTCGCTGGAGCAAGCCGTGGTGTTCGCCGGAAGTTTCACCGTCCAATCGCTGGAATCATCGTTAAGCTACGAGGCAAGCCCGTAGATATATCTAGTGATTAGAATGTTCGTATAGATCGTTTCTACGTTCATAAATGGTTGTTTGGTTGAGTTTTGTGTTTGACATGTTTGAGGAACCAAGAATCATAAACCTCGAATTTGTAGTTAAAACTTCGAATTAATGCTTCTAAAATGATCTACGAACCTTGGAGAACATGTCTATCTAGTTTAATTGAAGTTTGGTAACCTAAAATGAAGTTTGAGGAAAATGGCCGTATGAAGAAGATGATTAATAGTAAATTTTTGTGCTGATACGGGACCTGGTACCGTGTCTAGGTACCGTCAGAAGAGAAAATTTTCAGAACGGTACGGTCGACCGTTCGGACCCAATGGTCGACTGTTACGAACATTTTTCAGTCCGAAAATGCTATTTTTGAAGCTATAAAATCCTATTTTTGACACCACTCAATTATGAACAATATGAATATGGTTTATGGAAATAAAAATGATATTTGGACACATTCGAAGGCTGTGTTATGCATGACGGTAAGCTAGGGTGTTAACACTCGAAACTATGCCGCTATTTGTTAATAAATGTTATTATGACTATTATGATCAAACCTTGATAATATCCTAAAAAATGGTTATTATAATGGATAATGGAATATCATTGGTAATAAATATTGATTATGATGATCAAATGGACGACCCGAGTAATTATGACTACATAACGATCATGATTTTATTATGACAAATCCTTTACTATAATAAAGGAGACTCCAATTCACAAGAGTTTGACATTTGGCGTGTCTACTTGGCAAATTTTTAACATGTCAGCGCCACGTAATCCTTTAGTATAATATATGAGACTCATGTCTCCAAGAAGTTGACATGTGTCATCTTACATAGCAAATTTTTAAATGACATGGCACACGAATAAATTATATGACATGCTTTAAATTCTCATTCATCACTTATGGAAATTTATATATGATAACCTTTAAAATATGATGAGTTTAAAACAATATATTTTATATTGAAAAAATATGGACTTTTAAATTTATGGAAAATTATGTAAATGAAATAAATGTAATTTTTCAACAAAGAGTAAATAAATTAATCATAAAAAAATAATCATGATTAGACTGGGTATTTTTCATAAAAATAAAAATCATATTAAAAATATTTTGAGTAAACTATAGTTTTTTAAAAATTATTAATTTATTCTTTTGTATCAAAATTTATTGAGCTAAAATATACTTTGGAGTAGCTCATTTTATACCACTAATTAAAGATGAGAAATTTATTAGAGTATATAAATTTAGTGCATTATGGGTTTATGTATATTAGAAAATTTTTAATATGAAAACTTTGTGGTTTAATGTAATCAATAACTTTTTTAATAATTAAAATTTCCTTAAATATATTATAGGGAGTATAAAAAATCTATTAAGATTTAAATTTTGTTTGAGATATTATATATATTTACATCACAGTATTGATAGTCTTTAAAAGTATTTATTTATGATAGAGACAATGTTTATAAATGATAAATTTTTTGTTTTTAAATGAAAGTATTTTCATAAAGGAAATATATATTTTAAAAAGAATTGTTTCCATCCACTTTATTAGTAGGACTTTTTGAGCCTTTATTTTTCTTTATTAGAACATAATTTTCATAGAGAAAATATATAACAGTAAAAATAGATAATTAAAAAATATAATCTTGATATTCATATATTTATATATTCAAGTATCGAATGACAACGTATATTTTTGAATAGAATATATTAAAATAGTTCTAGCGCTCTAAATGGTTTGAAAAAGGTATGAATACCTCATTTATTTTCAAAACTTATTTAAAAAAATGTCTATCATTTCAAAAGGTTACACACGCACCACATCGGTTTGTACTATTTTCCGTTCATTTTTTTTATTAAAAAGGGGGCATTGATACGCATTCCAATCAACAAGAGCTGATGAGCATCAATGAATATTATCATTTTTAAGCTTTTTTCATATATAATTGTTCTTTATAATGTTATAAAATTCAAATTGGTTTGTATTTGAAATAATAAATTAAATCTCAATTTAAAAAAAGCAGATGACACTAGCTTTAATAGAAGTATCTACGCTGCACCGTTCACAAAATTAATGGTTCTACCTTCGACACCCTGGTAAACCCCCACCCCAGATTCCCAGAGCAAGTGGCTCTAAAATCGTTTCGATAATAGTAGTTGTAATAATAATAATAATAATAATAATAATAATAATAATAATAATAATAATAATAATAATAATAATAATAATAATAATTGTTTAATACCTTCGAAGAAGAATTTTATGTAATCAAGGTGTTTTTATAAAAACTTATTTTTTAATTATTTATATAAACATTATTATGAAATGCATGGTATGTATGCAAAACTCTAGAATTGACATCTCTGTCGAAATAATTTAGTCTAATATTAACTTTTTTGCAGAACTTATCTACCTAGAAGATCTAAAGAATTTATGTTTGATTGAGATTGAAAAGTTATTTAATTCAAAGGGACGATCCTTAATAGGTTTGGTGGTATGTCATTTCCAAATGACAACCCACTCAATAGATTTCATAATAACTTCTTGGTAGAGGAGTTGAACTATGATAGAGAAAAATTG